GGCTAGTAAAGAAAACTTCAGCAGCGTGAGTCTGCGCAGCGTCAACATCTCCGAGCAGATGTCCAACAACAGCGCCGTGCCGTACAAGAACCTCATGCTGATGCAGCTCAAAGGTAACAAACTAATATATCACTTTCAGGCTTCAATCAGAATACATTGAAAAAAATGTTTTCCGGGATAATTGGTTTCTATTGGGATAACATTCATCTACTACTTAGTAATTATCTATCTATTTATCTAATTTATGATTCCAATAGCTTGCATATAGACTCTTATTTCACTACTTCTCAACAACTCTTCTTTTTGTATTTACTTTTTAATATTTACTTGCACGATATTTTTTTCTGTTTTTCTGTATTATTGTGTTGCACTGTTGGAAAAGCCTGTGACCTAAGATTTTCAGCGAACAAAATAAATACAAATGTTTATATATAAAGAAAAAATTAAAGAAGGAATTTGCAATAGAAAAATACAATAAATACATTAGAAGTTTAAGTTGGATTTCAAATAAAAGGACCAATTAAATAATTGTACTGCAATATTTAACATAAAATGTTGTTCAGAAAAAAGAGAGGGAGATGGACTTTGGCTCTTAACTGTGACATGTCCATACAAATCCATACTGAAGTCTAGTTACCAAACTGAAAGAATCCAAAAAGCAAATGAATGTATTTCCAGAAAACTTTCCTTCAAAAATGCGTCTTTGCCTTTTTCACTACATGTGTTCATGTTCATAATGTGTCAGAGATTATATTCTGTAAAGGAACTGAAAGGTATGACTTTTTTTTCCAGGTCGTCGTCACATTCAGACCAGATTAGTGGAGCCCAGAGCCTCATCGCTGAACAGCGGCGACTGCTTCCTGTTGGTCACTCCAGATCACTGCTTCGTCTGGATCGGAGAGTTCTCAAACGTTATCGAGAAGTCGAAGGTGGGCGCTAAAACGTTATTATATCTTTCATTAATAATCATTACGGTGCCTTAGACTTAGAAAGAGTATTAGTTTGGACGTCTAGAATCAATGCTACTGGGTTTTAGTGTTTAGACAAAGATGAGTCATAAAAAATTCTGCCTCTCATTTCCACTAACACACACACTAACACTCACTTGGCACATAGGCCATCCTTCTTTTCAAACACGCTCCTCCTGGCTACATCTCTTTCATTTCCCCAGAGGAGATGTGTCTAGACAGACGCTTTGTAATAAACTCCTCCTTGCTCAGTGTTGTTAATCATTTGATCACGATTCAGCAAAGTCTATTTAAAGCATCATCACTTTGTCCTCAGTATCTGACCCAGTTGTTAAATCGTACCTTTTGTCCGAATGTGTGGATACATGTGACGCAGAATCTGGCACACAGCAAACAGAAATCACCACTGTCTCTGTCGCTAACTAAACATCTTGGTTTCCTGTCTGCAGGCGAAAGATATGGCCACCTTCATCCAGACGAAGAAGGACATGGGCTGCAGGGCGGTCCAGGTGCTGACCATCGAGGAAGCAGCCAACCCTCAGGTTGCAGAGGCCCAGCAGTTCTGGACCGTCCTCGGAGGACAGACCGCCTACCAACGTAAGACATGAGCCTTTAATGATCAGATTGCACAAGAAGTGTCAAGTTGTTGCTCTCAATATGTCTAGCAAGCCATTTTTCATTTTCTTAAAGTGAGCCGAGAGTTAAAGTATATTGTTGTAAGATAAGATAAGATAAGATGGACCTTTATTAATCCCCGTGCGGAAATTCAGTGGTTTAACAGCAACAGGTGAGAATGAAAAACAGGACAGCACAGATTCACAAAGATTAATACAATCAAAGATAAAATCCAACATAAAAATGATAAAGTAACTATAAAATAAGAAATGAATTCAAATGAACATATATACATATTCGGTTATATATACATAGTAGATATATTTACATGTGTGTGTCAAAGCAGTCTGTATTTTATGTCCAGTAATACACACAGTTAGGGATGGGTATCGTTAAGGTTTTAACGGTACTACTACTTTTATCGATACTGCTTATCGATCCGGTCCTTTAACGGTACTCTTATCGGTTCTTTTGGAGAAAAATAAGGTAAACTAACTAAACAAATTGTGAACAAAACTAACATTGCTTTTTATTTAAAAAAAAACAAACAAAAAACAAGTATTTACTGCATAAATACAGAGCAACACAGGTGGGGCATACAGGTGTGCTGCAAAGCGCCTATCGGTCCTTCTGGAGGAAGATTGAGGCATACATAACACCTGACGTGGAAATGTTCCTCGTGGATGGGGCTACAGAGCTGCTAGAAAGACAGTCGAACCCGGTGCATTCCTCCGTCTGGATGTGGAGCACTTTTGCTAAATGTTGAGACAAATTGCTCGTGTTACCGCCCTTACATGCTAAACTCTTATTGCACTTTTGGTAACGAGCATTGTCCACATCGAGACGGGTAAAGTTTAACCAAACCTCGGAGCGTGTTCTCTCGGCCATCTCCTCCGTGTGTGTGTATGTTGCTGCATGTAGCAGCCGCGTGTGTGTAAACTGCCCCGCCCCCTCGCAAGCAGGCGGGGGAGAGATCGAAAAAACTAAAAATAATCATTGATGCATTTTGCAGTCTTTTTGCATATTAGAAAGGGAGTTGGCGACACTAAAACTGCAATTTAATGTTTATGTAGCAATAATACATTTTTTACATGTCTCCAGTACCGATAAAAAGACCGATAACGTCGGAGCTTAACGGTACCACGGTCTTTAATAATTCAGCCCCGGGGCCCGTTTAATACCGGGGCTCGGTACCCATCCCTACTAGCAAGCCATTTGCATTTTCTTAAAGTGAGCCGGGAGTATATTGTTGTAAAATAAGATAAGATAAAATGGACCTTTATTAATCCCTGTGGGGAAATTCAGTAGTCTAACAGCAACAGGGTAAGGATGGAAAACAGGACAGCACAGATTCACAAAGATTAATACAATTAAAGATAAAATCCAACATAAAAATGATAAAATAACTATAAAATAAGAAATGAATTAAAATGAACATATATATATATTCGGTTATATATACATATTAGATATATTTACATGTGTGTGTGAAAGCAGTGTGTATTTTATGTCCAGTAATACACACAGTTTTCACACACAGTAGTAGTTGTAGTGGCCAAAGGGTGATACTACAACTTCAGTTTCAGTCATGTGTCGTTATTGGGGCCCAAAAACACTTTTCCCATTGACTTACAATGGGAAAAAGATGTCAGTAAATCATTTTAAAAAATAAATGTTGTCAAATAAACGACCCAGAATAAACACTTTTATAGCCCTGATTTAAATCATTAGGGCCTTTAAGTTCTAAAATGTGGTAAAAGCAGAATCCAGAGTTATTTTTCCACTCCCAGACATTTTGGCTTCATGTGCCACTGAGCAACTTCCATAGTAATGGATGGATCCCTTCTTCAACGCTGTATCTAGTTCTCCTTATACTATGAATTGGACAGATACCCTGCCAACCCTTTCCGATGCATGCACACTGAGATGTCTTTCTGATTGTGCTTATAGCGGCCGGTCCACCAGAGGAAGATGAGCAGTTTGAGAATGCCATTGTAGAAACAAACTGCATCTTCAGACTGCTGGACGACAAGCTGGTTCCTGATGATGAAGAGTGGGGGAAGGTCCCTCGCAGCTCTCTGCTGGCCGCCAAGGAGGTCAGTGTTTTCAACCTGGGTTAGATAGTAGTCAAAAGAGAGGTGCAGGAATGAGTCCTGAAACCTGGACATTATTTGATCAATCCCTTGATTCAAAGTAAATCTCAATCTTTATTCAAAAACTCATCTCTTTCGACTCCACTTCGAGCAATACAATGACTAACAAAGCACTTATATACTAACACAGGACTGGCTTATCTAAAGCCTGTTGAGTAGCGCTTGAAATGTTTGGCTCTATGAAACCTGATGTACTTATATGATTCTGTTTTCTTCTTGGTTGAATGCACTTATTGTTAGTCGCTTTGGATAAAAGTGTCAGCTAAATGCAATGTAATGTAATTTATGTAGCACATTTCAAAACAACCTCAGTTGACCAAAGTGCTGTCCAGGGAATAAATACAATATAGACTAACACAATGGGAGTACAATAATAAAACATGATAAAAAGCAGAATAACAGTTTTTTTAACTTGCTTTTGGTTATATTACTGAAATAAGGTCTGTGGTTAACAACAGTTGCTAACAAGTGGCTAAATGTTACTACTAAACATCATCAGGCTCAACATTAGCCGCCTTTAGCTTAGCGGTGGTGACGTGAAGTCATGCGAGTGTGATCTAGTTATATTATAGTCTAACATGAACTATTCCCTCCATTTGTTTGCATTCACGCTTTAACTATTATAGAAGTTATGTTAATATGTGGAGATTGTCCTGCTGAACAAAACATTTAAGTATCATAAATGTGCCACAGATCTTAATTTGTGCTCCAAAAGGCAATGGAATAATCCCATTGTTTTTAATCGAGGGCGCCGTTGCGTAGCTAAATTCCAGGTCGGCCTACAAAAATACGTCATCACTGCGAAACTCTATAAGGATATGGGTTTACGAGAGTTCATTTCAAATAGAAGTTGTAGGAGAGCCACAATGATGATGATGAGTCGTGGACAGATGGATGAAGAGAGTGATGAGTGTCAGCTGAAGGTGGGAAGATGGGAGGATGTAATCTGATTAAGATTGTGCCCCCAGTGGTTCCTGTTTTCAAACAAAAGAGAGATTAGAGGGAGAGAGTTTGAGGGATGTGAAAACTGAATCAAAAAGGAAGTAAACAGATCAGGGGAGATTAAACGCCTTGGTGTGCGGAAATTGGATGTGTTTGAGGCGTGGTGTTTGTACTTAAACCTAGTTATAAAGCCTATTAACTGAAAACAAGAATGTAGCGCAGCATCAAAACAAGAGCTCTCACATCTTTACATCCTGTTATGTTATAATGACATGGTGACTTTTTCCTCTAGAGGACCAAGCTCTGAAAATCAATAGTTTATGCTTCGAGCTGGGTTTTATTTTGTCGCTTAGCAACAGCAGGTGTCATGGCGAGCACGTCCTGCATCCATCTGTGCACTGATGAAGCTGAATGAAATGAGTTCAGGACAGCGGGGCTAACACCAATCAGTGCTCTGCATATTAATGATGGGACATGTTACGGCCTTTTAAATCTATTGGCATATTAGTGCCGTTTGATGTAATACGTGTTTTTATGTTAAATGCTGTCTGTATTTTCCCAAGTTAAGATTTTTATTTTCCATTGTACTATTTGTTTATGTTAATTATTCTCCATTTGGTCTTACATACACAAATAAATGGGTTTTAAACACTATAGGGGACCTAGATATTCATTAGCCCTGTACACATTTAGCTTGAAGAGGCATACATGGAATAACAAAATAAAACTCACTCATGCTTTCTTCTTGTGTTTGTTGTTGTTGTTTACACGCTGCAGGTGTTGGTGTTTGACTTCGGCAGTGAGGTGTACGTGTGGCACGGTAAAGAGGTGACTCTGGCTCAGAGGAAGGTCGCCTTCCAGCTCGCCAAACACCTCTGGAACGGGACGTTTGACTACACCTGCTGTGACGTCAACCCGCTGGACCCCGGGGGCTGCAACACACTCATACCCAGGTGACACACACACACACACACACACACACACACACACACACACACACACACACACACACACACACACACACACACACACACACACACACACACCTTGTTATCACTTGCAGCCACATTCAATTGACTTGTTTCATTTTCTGAAGGATGACTGTAACCTGAACCTATTCCAAATATAAGTAAAGCAACTACACAGAATTTTTATTTGAGGTTAATTTTGGAACATTTGTTTGGAAGCGAGTAACTTCAAAAAATAATATATAAAATATAAACACAACTGTTTACAAGATGCATAGGGTTACAAACTAATTGTTCGTCACTATGCACATTATCACAGAAATCTTTATGTTGTTTGCTTTACTCAAAACATATTCAAACATGACAGCAGCCAAGGCAAAGGCTAGCTTTTTATTTTAGCTTTATTTAATCTTAAGCCACCAGTATAAGTACATTTCAAATGAATCCCTTTGATATGACTGCTAAATGCTTTTTTGTCCCCATAACATGACTATTACAAGTACACACACTCACAAACACATTTGTATTACGTCCGTCATCGCTACAATATATTTACTATAACCTAAAAAACCTAAGAGGCATAAAAACACTCTTGTACCTGTTCATAACTACACCTGCATATTCACACTCACAATAATTCAATGAGCTTAAAGTCCTTATCTTACATGAAAAACTTTTTTTGGCAGTTGATTTCTGGGGGGTGTATGCAACAGATAGTCAATGTATGTTTCTTTATTTCATACTGAATAATATGTAAAAAAAGGAAAAATATTAGGTCCAATAAAAAAACTTTGCTTCTGGAAGCAGGCAATTTCGTGACGTCACGTGTGGTTCCCGGCTGCCGCTGTCTGGCTCCCTGCTGCCGTCCGGATCGACAGCCAATGCGCTCAGCCAGCGAGAGTTCACAACGAAAAATGGCGTCAAATATTGTTGATGTTTACGCATCAGAAAAAGCTAATAGCGCGGGTATTTGGCACAATTTGACAGAACAATTATTTGGTGTGGACGATGCGAGCAGTGATGATGAATCTGAACGATCTCTCTCTCTTTTACACCAGAAATAAGAGGCCTAGAACCGTATAGGTTCGAGCCAGCAAAACGCGAATGTGCACCACCGGCCTTCTCTTTCGGGAACAAATGAACGGTAAAACCATCCCGATTGGTGTTGCTACACCCGCCAACGACACACCTCTTCACCATGATCCGGAAAAAACAAGACAAACTCGGAGATAAACACTGATACACAAAGTTGACATGCGGCTATACCAGCAATGCTACACTGTGTGATGCTGGGACGGGCTGAACTCACCAGGATTCGCGGAACCACACGTGACGTCATGACACAGCACCAAGCAGCGGCAAGTTTGAATCCAGACTTTTCTGGATACCTCTGAATTTGACCCATTTTCCCGATATTAACAAGTGATTTACAGCAAATAGGAAACGATATTCGATCTATATCACGTGTTACTGGAATAAGACCCAACAAGTTAATGCATTTTGAAACAGTTCTATGATCTTTCAGCTACAGTAAATTACGCAAGATAAGGACTTTAATGTAATTGAAGCTCTGTTGATATAGCAAAGCTCACAGTGTAATCTTGACATCCCTTCTCCTTGTCTTTGTGTGTGTGGCTGACAGGAAGGGCCAGGGCCGTCCTGATTGGGCGGTATTCGGCAGGCTGACAGAGCACAACGAGACCATCTTGTTCAAGGAGAAGTTTATGGACTGGACTGAAGCAAAGTCGCCGACACCAAAGGAAGGAGGCGGAGAGATCGTACCTGAGCAGAAGGTGAACATCTGACTCTTATCCCATGAGGATTGCATTATTCACACTGGTCACACACAGCAGAGAGTCGTCATATGTTAGCTCTATCTCTTCATCTGTTTACTGCGGCTCATCAGTTCATGTTGCCAGGAACAGTTGGTTACACACTGGGCAATAGGAATACAGACCATATGTCTTTGTAGTGGATGCCATTCAAAGCATCATAGAGGATACATCGTTCATGAGTAATCAATAGAAAACTAAAATGGTATTAAAAACATCTTATTCTACTTCCTGTTTTGTTCCACTAACAAGGGATAATGCCAGTATACACAACATAAACATACAATCAATAACATGGATAATGAATAACACATTACAGGCAACAATAAGACACTTGGATTTTAAATCATAGCGATAACAGAAAATGTACAAATATTATATGTATATAAATAAATGGAATACAAACAAATAGAATCATTAAAAATAATATTAATAAATATTAAAAAGTATATACAAATACAAACATAATGAAAATAATAAATAAAAACTCTCTGAAAGGTATATTTATACCGTCCTAAAATGTACTTTCGTGAATAAATCCTATCTGTTATCTTTACCCCCTACTTATTCTACTTCTTGTTTTGTTTCAATAACAAGGGATAATCCCAGTATACACAACATGAGTAATGAGTAATGAATAACACATTTTAAATGATATTGATAAAAGAAAATGTAAAAATATTATATGTGTATACAAACCAATAAAATCATAAAAAACGTATCAGAAAAACAGTCAGACAAACAGTCAGACAGACAGACACACAGACAAACAGTCAGACAGACAGACACACAGACAAACAGTCAGACAGACAAAACAGTCAGACAAACAGTCAGACAGACAGACAGACAGACAGACAAAACAGACAGACAAGCAGTCAGACAGACAGAAAGACAGACAAACAGTCAGACAGACAAACAGTCAGCCAGCCAGACAGACAGACAGACAGACAGACAGACAGACAGACAGACAGACAGACAGACAAACAGTCAGACAGACAAACAGTCAGTCAGTCAGTTAGACAGACAGACAGACAGACAGACAGACAAACAGTCAGACAAACAGTCAGACAGACAAACAGTCAGTCAGTCAGTCAGTTAGACAGACAGACAGACAGACAAACAGTCAGACAAACAATCAGACAGACAAACAGTCAGTCAGACAGACGGACAAACAGTCAGACAGAGAGTCAGACAGAGAGTCAGTCAGACAAACAGTCAGACAAACAGTCAGACAAACAGTCAGACAAACAGTCAGACAGAGAGTCAGACAGAGAGTCAGACAGACAAACAGTCAGACAAACAGTCAGACAAACAGTCAGACAGACAAACAGTCAGTCAGACAGACGGACAAACAGACGGACAAACAGAGGGACAAACAGTCAGACAGAGAGTCAGACAGACAAACAGTCAGACAAACAGTCGGACAGACAAAACAGCAAATAAATTAGGGGCCCAAAGCCTTGGCAAATAGATGGGACTTGAGGACCCTTTTTGAGGCATCAAGAGTTGCGGATATACACACACTAAAAGCTCTGTCCCCGAAGGATCGATGTGTGTTATAATGATTTCGTCCTAAAATGTACTTTCGTAATGGATCCTATCTGTTACCTTTCCCCCCTGTTCTCTCCCAGGAGGCCCAGGGGCGAGAGTGCCGGCCTTACGACGCCACCCTGATGCTCCCCGTCCTCGAGACGTCCATCTCCACCATCGTAGACGGGACGAATGTGGGACGCGGCCACGGCCCGGTGGAGACGGAGGACCACATGAGGATTCAGGAGATCACCACGGCCTCGGTGGACGTCTGGCACATCCTGGAGTTCGACTACAGCCGCCTGCCACGCCAGAGCATCGGCCAGTTCCACGAGGGAGACGCCTACGTGGTGAAGTGGAAGTACATGGTCAACACCTCGGGTTAGTTCATCTCAAGTGCATTTCAAAAGGTTGCAAAACAATTATCTCAGTATTATAAAGTGTAATTGAACTGTGCCTGTGGGTATGTATGTATTATTATGTGCAATTATTATTTCGTTTTTTGTTTTGATAACTAACATTGGATGACCATTTTAGTTTTCACTTCATATAGCACTGTAAATGCATTAAATTATGAGCTGTTTTGTTTTGTTTTATGTATGTTCTGTGTGTGTGAGGACCCCAGGAAGAATAGCCAATGCTCATGCTAGTGCTAATGGGGATCCTAATAAAGAATAAGAAGTATACCTCATTCACACCAACGGTGTTTCAGGGCCGGTTCGGAGCTGGAGCTTGAAAAGCACCGGGTGTTCCTGTTCACACCGCAGCGGAGCAGCCTCTTAGCTCCGGAATCCGGTTCGTTTCAAGCACCAACATTTTTTCCAGCTAGAGCAAAAGCACCGCATACGTCACGCTTACGTCGAGGCGGGGGCAGGGGCGGGATCAACTCCTGAACAACAACAAAAAGCCAGTGTTTTATCCAGTTTGTACACAACGATGGAGAAACTTAACAAGAGTTTCAGTGGTCCACTGAAGAGACCAGTGTTACAACCCGGCTCGTGGGCTGTAACATAAAGCAGGGAGGCGAGACGAGAGGTAAGAATATACGTTTATTTGTTAAACAC